TGCTGGCTGCTTCCGGGACACAGCACAGTCCGCAGTGCTGGGACAGGCAAGTAGCCTGCCTTAGTACCCTGCTGGTCACCTTACAGCAAAGTGACGCAGTGCAGTCCACAAACCAGTACTGGGGTCACGAGCCGTAGTTTGAAAACCACTGAATTATAGTATGGCTAGGTTAAATATATGGGACCAATCCTTCAGACTTTATTTCAGTATTGCTTATTATTACTTGTTTGTGTTATGAATATACTTTGTACTCTCCAAAACAGAATGGTGTACACAGCCTCAAGTTTGCCAGAAATCTATTTGGTGCACCTGAGGAAAGGGTGGGGCAAACATGGCTTGCAATAGCCCATAGGAGCCTGTACACAGATGGAAACTGCTGAAACGCAAAGCATTCCAGCCGTACTGCCTCTAGCCATAGGCAAAACACCCCAAACTCTGTCCTATCCCTGTCTCGAGTAACACAGAAGCAACGTATCGGCCCCTTTGAGTAGTGGTACAGTCCTTTTGCACCACATCAGTGGCCAAATGGGACCATGGCAAGGACAAGAATCTGACCCGATTTAAAGGACCCCAAAGAATCTACGCTCCCAGGGCCTGATGCTAGATACCTTTATGTCAGTGATTTTGTTTATGTGACAGTGGCAGTGTTTACATGAGTAGAATTATTCATATGCACAAACGTTGGCAGGAGCAGAGTCTGAAGAGGAGCTATTCAGGAGACATAGCACACTCAAACAACTTAGAGATTGTTGTTTTGTTTTCTGTATTGTTATAATTTTCAGTCCTCATGAGCATTGTGGTTAAAATGTTTTTCAGAGGTATCTCAATGAGGACAGAATAGTGACTTGCTTAACTAGGGCAAGAGAGAGGCCACATTAGGGAAAATTTCCTTCAACTTAAATGGAAACAGATTTAGATCCTGACAGCTACCCTTAATAAATTATTTTACAAGACACTCTCATTCCATTAATTCTGTCCACGTTCACATTTTTTTTCAAGAAACTGTACATTTCAAGAAAAATATAATACTAATAGGAAGAGTTGTGATGAAATATTGAGTGATGGCAACAAGAAAAAAATAACAGGACAACAATGGTTGCTAATTGATTGCAAGATTCCCTTCCTGTATAAACATCTAGTTACATTGGAAGCCAACAGGAATTCATTTCAGCTGTGCTTGAGGCTGTTCCACAGCAAACTAGGACGCTAACTTAAATAGATAGATGGGAAATTAAATTAGGACTGCTGCTGACAATGTTAATTGTTCTACTAACTGAACAATTGTTCAGTCAGACTGTTAGATTATTCCCCTAAAACACTACGATAGCTATGTCTACGTAGCAGCTGAAGTTCTGCAAGCCAGAAAATATTGTTTTAATTTGGAGGTATATTTGAATCCTATATCAGTTTTTTAAATTACATTTCAAGATTTAAAGGATGAAAACTAAATTGAAAGTTTACAATTACTACTTCCATCAAACCTAACAGAATCTGAATTAAAATTGTACATTAAAAGTTGGTCATACAGAAATTAATATAGTCTCTTTAAAGTACTAATATAGCCCCCATAACTACAGTATCCAAACCCCAGATCCACAAAGGAACATAGAACCCAGATTTAGGCTCCAATTCAATCCACAAACCCTCCCATGGTGCTATTTAACTCAATAGTTCCCTAAAACTCGCTCAGCACCTACATTTTTACTAAAAACAAGTTTCCTGGGCATGTAAGTTTCTACCTCCAGGCATCTGTACTACATTCCAATTTTAGTTATCTCGACACTTATCTCATGCATAAGCCTCACACTATGCCCAAACCAGGTGAAAATAGGCATAGCCCCACCTATCTTCCCTCTGGGACTTACTCTCTGGAATTTTTAGCAGATCACATGGCCAATGAGGGCATGGTAAGCTAGCCCAGCTTGCTAGCCACGAAATCACCACATGGACATGTCTTTACTTTGTAAGCTGGTGCCTATGACACTCGCAGGAAGATCCAGGTACAGCCATCTGCTGCAAAAACTGTTTATTTATCTAAAGTGGAATGGCTTCAACAGGAGTCTGTGGCAGAACTACAGATTGAAAGCAAAATCTGTTGAACGCTGATAAAAGATACTGTTGGTCATAGTATCATCTGTGAGTCAGACATGGGGAATTGTAGGCCCAAAATATACAGAACTTCAGTGGTAACTGTATTTTGCTATTTATTTGAAATATAAATAAATCTGAAAATCTCATGTTCAAGTGAAGCAATTCATCTTTCTAGTCCTTTACACTCTGCACAATTCTCAATTGCTCCACTAAGGGAGACCACTTCTGCAGCAGGATCTTTGATTGCTCCACTCCAAGAGTGCCACAGTGATTTCTTCAGTCTCCCATCTCCCTGCATTATTTCAGTCTCAGTTCCACCCAGTATACTCATTGTACAGTACATAGCACAGGGATTAAGGCAGCCTTTCAAAAGTATAGGAAGTTCCAAACTTATGAACAGGTTGTGTTCCAAATGTTTGTTTGTAAATCGGTTGGAACTCGGAACACGTTTTCTCATAGAAACAATGTTATAAATGGTAGTCAGGTTTCCAGGGTAATTTATTTAACAGAAGCCTATGTAACCCATATTGTAGCTGAAATACTCTATATTTGCAATGAAAACTAGTAGAAATAGTTTTTTTTATTTAACCTTGAATGCTGGTGCTTGAGGAAAGGCAAGTTTAATTAGAGGAGGAGGTGGAGATTCTGAAAAGGACTTCCGGGCATCCCCCAGCCACCCATACCCACCTGCAAGCTCTGCTCTCATGCCTGCGGCCAGCTCCATCCCTTGCTGCTCTGGCCTCAGCACCGGTGCCATTAGCCTCCATCCCCCAGCTGCCCCTCCTCCTGGGCTGCCCCCGCCTCCACTCACTGGGAGGCAGTGAGTGACATACATATGGATTGGAAGACTCAGGAGCAGCAGAAGGAAGCCACGCTGCCGGTGTCTTGAGATAAGTGGTAGTTTCCCTTCAAAGCACTGCTTCTTTCCAGCCACTGGCTGCATGATTGCCCCCTGCTCCTCCAGAATCCTCCGGCCAGCACTTGCGCCACTTGTCACCACCTCGGCCTCTTCCTGCTCCCCTGATGCTGCAGGTGAGCTTTTGTCTGTATTTGTGGGGACTGGACTCGATGACCTCTTTAGGTCCCTTCCAGTTCTAGGAGTCTGTGTGATTCTATGTTGGTAAATCAGATGTTTGTAACTCAGGGAGTTTTTGTATCTTATTTTCATAGGGGCCATTCATCACTGCCTCCTGTCAGGGATCTGGTCATGCTCCCCCTGCTGGATCCTTGCCAGACTGCTGTGAGGCAATCCAGATGCTGACTCTCATATGCTTTAGCTTGCTCGGGTGGAGCAAAGTTTTTAACACTGTCCCTGGCTTTGGGCATCTTGGCAGACACTCTAGGTGCAGACCTCATTTCTGAAATCCCATAGGGACCCTGCTCTAATTAGAGTGCTGTCTGCACACTGTCTCTAGAAATCCACCCTTTTAAACATTCGTTCATAACTTAGATAAACAAATTCACTTGGAACACAGAATTACTCAGTTTTTAGATCACATCTGACATAGAAGCCTTAATAATGACAACCAGATACAGGTGACTTTTGCTAATGTTTTAAACCCCTAAGGCAGGGGTGGATTCAGTCCCCAAGGCTCAGTGTTCCCCCTCAGCATTAGGGAGTCTGTACTGACACTCCTGCCCCCTGAACCTCAGGTGTTCCAGGCTAGGAGATATTTTGTGCTCCAGCCCCGCAGGGGAGTAGCTGGGGGTCAGGGGAGAATATCTTTCTCCTCAGTGGGGGACCACGTTAGTCTGGGTTTTGTTGTTGGTGGTGGGTTTTTTTTCCTTCTCATTTGTGTGCAGCCCCTGCCTGATTTTTCTGTGGGTCAATGGCCACTGAGCCCAAAAAAACATTTCCTACCTCTCCCTAAGGCATGTAGGGCTTGTTCTTGTATAGGGGGTTATCAGGATGTGGCTGCCTGGGGAAGGAGGCATGGCTAAAGCAGCCCGTTCTTCAAATAAGTCTAGCTGCACAGTGGCTCTTGCCTTTTATTCCTCCACCCATTTTCTTATTTAGATTCCTTCTTGCCGATTGTCAGTAGGCAAAGTAACATGCTCTGTATATCTCTGAAATGGAGCTACGCTATATTCCATGGCATGCTGCATTTTCAACTAACATCTTCACAAGCTG